AATCCATTTATTTCAACAAAGTAACTGTAATCCAATTACCACTCACTGAAACAGTAACTGTAACTGAATACAGTTACTCACAATTTGTACTCTGATTACGTAACTCCGGTACATGTAATCTGTTACTCCCCAACACTGGATATAACACGAAAAGTAAATATTTCTATTCTATAATAACAGGCAAAAATATAATATATACACACACCCATATACATACACATACATATACATGCACACATATACACTAAGCACTCATTTCTTCAGCACAGGATTTTGAAATATTCAATTTTTTAACTGCCCTTTTGAATACATGTATATTTGAACAAAGTTTTAATTCTATTTTCAAGTTGTTCCATAATTTTACACCACAAACAGAGACACAACATCTTTTTCTTGTCGTTCGAGCACGAGGCATTTTAAAATTCAAAAAGCCTCTTAAGTTATAGTTTCCTTCCCTTTCACAAAAAAGTAGTTGGATATTTTTTGGTAACTGCTTATTTTCAGCTTTATACATGACTTGTGCAGTTTGGTACAAAATCAAATCATTCAGTTTGAGTAATTTGGCATGAATAAACAGTGGATTAGTGTGGTGATGAAATTTGACATTATAAGTAATTCTTATTGCTCTTTTTTCAAGTTTTATCAATGGTTCTTGCCTTGAGAGTCTAAAGAAGAAGACGTAGTTGGGAACTAAAGAAGCAGTATGACTGGATGGTGAAATGTACTCACCCGAAAAAATGTATTTGACAAAATGACTTTGTTTTGTTGTGGATTTTTGTCACATTTAGTTTGAAGACTGACTATTTGTTGGCGATGTACCGTCATAGAAATTAATTTAAATGCTTAGATTAGGTTAGGTCGGTTTATTCGTACCCGTAGGTAAATTTGTTTTGCAGATTTGAGAGGCTGGTGCCACATTTCATTCATCCACATTATGTACAATAAACACGGATAAAAACACAATTATAAAATAAAGTGTTACAGAGCTCTAGAGCACAATGGCTTTGTTCCATAAATAATTAATGAAATTCATCCATCACACTTGGCTAAGATCACAATAAATATTAAATATACAAAATACACACGATTTTTCAAAGACAGTGTACTAAAAATGATAGATACATAGATAAATTATTCATAGCAGCTGGAACGAAGCTCCTTTTAAAACGATTCGTTCTAGATGATGGGACTAAATGCCTCTGACCGAAGGGAAGCAGCTGAAACTCTGAGTTTAGAGGAAGTTGCACGTCTTTTAGAATCCTCTGGGACATGGCATTGGGCGATGCATTGGTGAATCTGTTGGAGAGGAGAGGAACTGCCAAACTGTCAATAAATTCGGATTAAATTTGACTTTTTCCAGCATACAGAAATGACAGTCAGTCTACGTTCAGACTGCAGGGCTTAACGCTCAATTCCGATTTTTTTGTGAAATTCGATATTTTTGTGAGGTCGTTCACATTTCCAATTAAATGTGACTTGTATGTGACTCCAGTGTGAACGTTAAATGGCCTGAAAGTGTCCCACATGTGACACTGGAGACACGACGACGTCAACCACAGCGAGCGTCTCTGTGTTTACAGAAGTTGTCCAAACATGGACGCAGCATCGAGCACCTGGAGATTTTAAAGTTCCTCTCGTACCGAAGCCAGAACATGAACAACTTACTTGTTTTAAGGACGAGATTGAGAAGGAGAAGGACGAGGTTTTTGGCTGTGGTGTTTTGTGGGACAGCGGCAGCGACGTCCGTTGAAAGGAACGTGTGGATGTGGAGACGGAGCCAAGAGTGGTGAGTGGTGATGTGCTTCACTTCAGTGACACGGAGTTTGTTAACAATTTTCGCCTACTTCAGTGCAGAATAGTGACGTTTGTGGCTTGTTGATAACATGTAGGTGGATGAATGCACTTTGGCCGTTCAAACTGAAGTCGCATGTCAAAAGATCAGATCTGTATCAGTTTCAGGAGCACATATCCAAGTGTCCTGGGTCGCATTTGTATTTATTTATTTTTTATTTTATGCCTAGGATCTTGAATACACTCTTCTCAAATACTTTACAAAGTTCTGAGTCTGGTCACTGGCAAATCTCCCAGAGCTCAGATGGTCATGATTGACAGGTGGAATAGCCAGTCAGGGTCACACATGGTCTGTCTGTATCAAAACAAATATGGCTGCTTATTAGGAAAAAAGAAAGGAAATATCAGAGGGAGCTGAAAAACATGGCAGATTTTTGAGGAATCAATGAGCGAAGCACTAAAGCCTGTTCATCCGAGGAGACTGATATCCCTCTGTATAAAAGAAAATACAGAGATATCTCACTACAGTCGTCAAGCAGGACATTTCTGACACTTCTTGACACTTTTTTGTCTTAAAATAGAAGGAAAAAGTCTTCACAGCAGTCCTGTTACATGAGAAATGTTAACTTGTCAGCTTCCCTTCCTTATGCACCTATTTCTATTCACTATATTGTTTTCTATTTTAATCAAACCTCTGACGCTTTTTGCATTCAGTTCGGAAAAGCTCGCCTCTGAAGCTATTTTTAAATCTTTCCAGTGTAGTGTTTCTATTCTGTTGTTAGCTGGAACAAATTTTGAAACTTGAAAACATACTTTGTTCCATCTAAACTAAACTAAACCCAGAGCTGCCTGTCTGTATCCCCGCGTATCCCCTTACACTCTCTGATCGCTACAACCAGACCTTGAACTACTTTTGCAGTGCTAATGAAAACCCTCTCCCGCTCTCTGTTTTCTCTCCCCCTCTTTCTTTCAACGCCGCAAATCGATGCAAATTACCAGCCGATCATATCAGCGCTCGCCCTGTAGAGAGTTTTAATACAGACTTCCCTTTTGTCGAACGCTCGATGTAAACACGCGGCGTGACAGGCGGATGAGGCGGCCGTGATGGAGAGGTGCGGACAGGTCTGGGCGCGGGAAGACTCTGGGCTTTGTGACTTAATGGACATAAGGTCACTGCTCGGGTTGATGGCTGTTTTATACTGTGAAATCTTCTGAGCGGATTGTGAAGCCAATTGAGGGGAATGTGTCGAAGGAAGCGTGCAATTAATAAAAGAAGAATTCTGGACTGTGATGGGACCAGTGGTGGACCAATCCATGTATCATTCGTTCATTTGTTTTTCAATATAAAATCAAAAATAAGAAAATGAAAAAACAACTGTTTTCTTCATTATTTGTCTCCAAAACCAAAATGAAAAAACGGATAAAGATTCATTTTTTCAGTTTTTGATTTTGTGTTTAAATGAAGAATGGAAAAAACGCATAACAGCCGTTTCCCGTTTACGTGACTTCCGTGACTGCAATGCCGAACTTTTGCGCATCATATGGACTGAACCAGGACTGATCCAGGTCCGGGACCACACCGGGACCAGACCGGGATCAGAGTGGGACCAGACCAGGACCAGACCGGGACCAGAGCGGGATCAGACCGGGACCAGAGTGGGATCAGATCGCTCTCCGACTTTGACTCTGAGCTTCCGCAGGGTCCGAGCCTCAGCTTCGAGCTCCAACCCTGCCGTGGGCTCTGAGCCTCCGGTCTGGTCCTGGTCTAGTCTTGGTCTCAGTCCCGCTCTGGTCTCGGTCAGGTCTCAGTCTCAGTCTGGTCCCGGTCTGGTCCCTGGTCTGGTCCTGGTCTGGTCTCGGTCTCAGTCCCGCTCTGGTCCCAGTCCGGACCCAGACCTGGATCAGTCCTGGTTCAGTCCAGCATCGGAGACATAAACAGGAAACGGTCATTATCCCTTTTTTCCATTTTCCATTTAAACACAAAATCGAAAACTGAAAAAACGAATCATTATCTGTTTTTTTCATTTTGGTTTTGGAGACAAATAATCTGTTGTTTTTTCGTTTTCTTATTTTTTGTTTTATATAAAAAAACAACAACGAATGAACGAATGACACACGGATTTGGACCAGAGTTCACGTTTGAGAATATGATTTTGTCATAGTTTCACACGGAGGGCAAGGGCCCATTGATTCTTTGCAGCTGATGTCACCTCCATTTCCTAAGGGTGTGATGCTAACTGAAGGCACTACTCAATCTGAAGCTTTGTGACTTGAGTTAGACTTTGATCCGAGCTTTAATTTAACACAATCTGACCATAAAGACATGACTTATATACTAAATTTGAGATGATTTGTGCTCTTAAACAAGTCTGTCGCACATAAGCCAACAGTTTCTCAGTTAGTCACTCTCACCTTGCACCATAGAGATACATGTAGAGCACCCCAGCATGATGTCACTGCAACGTAGCAATATAACTCTATGAGAGAGTCACTGTTTTTAAAAGAAATCTCCAAATTTCTGACCCACAAATATTGAAATTTCTCATTATTTGTTTGGTATTGGCTCCACAAACTTCATATTAGTCTTACTTCTTACAGTCCTTGTCGCTGGGTTGTCGAAATGTTGCTTGGAATATGTCTGTCAATATGTCATTATACAGATTTATTTTGCATTTATTCAATCGCATGTGCTTTATAAGAATTATCTTAAGATTTCAAGTATTCTTATCATGAGTGGGATCGCAACTCCGTAGATCTGGCCTATAACTTTGCCTGGTGGTCGCATGTTTGTTTCCATGGAGATTGATAAGTTTAAGATAATTTCAGGCATGTGGTGATCATCAAGCAGGTGGAGGAGTCTTCATCAGAAAAGTTATGTAGGGTACTTTTAGGTGAGTGGCAATGAATAATTTACTGAACTGTGGTGGGATGAAGAGACAGTATGATAGATCTGAAATCTGATTTGAAGCCTAGATAGGTGGTGGAAGAGGAGGAGGTCTGGTGGTTGATGGTGTCGGTGGATATGGGAGAGAAATGTGGTCTGTGGATGAAACAGCAGGACAAAGTGGACAGAGAGTGCATTTGTATGAATGGTTTGACGAGTGTGGGGAGTGTGGACTGGTTTGCAAAGGTCGGATTTTGAGAGAAACTGGCGGAGAGTGTTTGACAGCGTACTTAAGACTTAATATATGTCCTCTCGTCTTTTCCAGTGTTGCGTGATGACTTCCGACAGAACCCTGCGGACGTGATCGTGGCGGCGGGAGAGCCGGCCGTGTTAGAGTGTCAGCCGCCGCGAGGACATCCAGAGCCCACCATCTCCTGGAAGAAGGACGGGGTCACCATCGACGACCGCGATGAACGCATCACGGTAGGGCAAAAAAATCTGTGCTACTGTGCAAGACTGAGCTGGATCACATAGGGGTGATGGTGGCAGAGTGGTTTGCTTCACACAGTAGTAGCTAAAATGTTTACTTAGAGTCTCTATACCTGATTTTTACTTCTTAAAAGAGCTAGTTCATTTTGAAACAAGTCCAAAGTTCTTCCTCACTTACCTTACGCATTCTGAGCATCCTGATTACTCAGCTCGATGAGTTTATAAGAGCTTTTCACAACTTTCAGAGACAAGAGACGAGTTTTGTTATTACAGCAAAATTAACAATAACTAGCATGCTAACTGCACACTTTCTGTTACTCTGACAGTGCACAACTGACTTATTTTGACCTCACGAGCTGCGTAAACAATATATCTGGTGAATGTGGAAGTAAGCGTAAAGTTACTTCAAACTGATACTACTCATATACAAGTACAACGTAGTGGTTGAAGTAATTATACAAATAAAAGTAAAGAAATATTTGGTGAAACAGCCACTCAGTAAAGGATTTGTAAGAGTAACTTTGAGTACGTAACATCTGATTTCTAATTTGAAATGATTATAACTGCAACGACAGAAAATTTAATAATGCTCAGCGTTGTTGTTTTTAAAAGACAGATACAAAAAAAAAAAAAAAAAGAGTCAAACGTTCATATCTGAAGGAAACTCAAATGTTCAAATCATTTCATATTGTCAGTGTTGGGAAGGTGACTTTTAAAATGTATTCTCCTACAGATTACATACCCCAAAATGTAGTTTGTAACTTAATCCATTAAATTATTTAAAATGAGTAACGTAATCTGAATACTTTGGATTAATTGATTTGCTGTAGAGAAGCAAAGATTACCATATTAAAAGTAGTATTGTTATTGATATTATTGTTGTTTTAGTCCCGGTTTAGTCCTGGTTTAGTATATATATATATATATATATATATATATATATATATATATATATATATATATATATATATATATATATATATATATATATATATAGATAGATAGATAGATAGATAGATAGATATAGATATATATATATATATATCCCAAAATGTGAAAACAGGAAAATACCGCCGTGTAATCCAAGTAACTGTAATCCAATTACCACTCATTGAAACTGTAACTGTAACTGAATACAGTTACTCATAATTTGTACTCTGATTAAGTAACTTTGGTACATGTAATCTGTTACTCCCCAACACTGTCTATTGTCCACATACAGCTTTTGTTTGAGTAAGAGTTACAATGTCAAATATATTACTTATATATTACTTATACTTATGTAGCAAAATGTTTTCAGAATATTACTAACATTACCATTTTATAAAAAAAAAAAAAAAAAAAGTTAGATGTAACTGAGTACTACCCAGCTCTGGCCTCGCAGCAAAAAGATGCTTGTTTAGTTGTGGGCAGTTTGCATGTTCTCTCTGTGTTTCTGTGGGTGTTCTAATCATGCTTTGTTGACTAATTTTCCAATTTGCTGTAATCTGGTGTTCTGGACAGTGATAGGCTTTGGCAGGTTTATTAGCATAGCATGACAACAGGCATAATGTGGATAATTCACTTTTATCTAATTCAGTTGAGTAGAAGTGATGAAGATGCAGACACAGGCTCCCGTTATAAAGGGCTGGAGTTGTCTCAGAGCATATTAGACTGGAGGATATATGACTCCCAGTTACATTCTTTATTATAGAGAAGGCTTCTTAAAACACTATGGAGCACGTACTACTGATGGTACTTTTACTTCTGTTTTGTGCCAGTCAGGGGCCTCCCCATATGGAAGAAAAATGGAAAAAATTATATATATATAAATAAGAATTTACCACTGTCTTTGTAGTAAATCTTTGTATAATGTTTATATGTGTCATGTGTTTTACTCCTGAAAGTGTTTCCCCTTTTACATTTTTCTCATACAACTATATTATGAAAAACTAGTAAAGATAAAGTGAACATTTTGCATGACATTTACAGGTAATGTGCATGATCAACTATATTCTCTTTGTATGTTCCATGTAATGTTTGTATTCTTTAATTATATGTTGTAGAAAAAAATAAAACAAAATCTGAGTCAGAAGGGAGATTTGAACCCAGGTTGCCCATGTGACAGTCCAGTGACTCACCTGTTGAACTACCCAACTGTTACTAGGGGTGAGAACTAGAGCAGATGTTGAGGACAGTTACAAGTATTCTGGTCTCCCACAAGTAAATGGCAACTTCAAAAAGGCAACAAAGAAAGGAGCTACAGGATTTTGCAGAGTAAAAATCTTTTCACAGCCTGATGTATGTTCACTGTGATATCAGTGGAAGAGTGTGTGTCTAATGTTTTATAAGGTTGTATAGTTTTCTTTCTCACTCTCATACACACAACACATCAATCAAGTTTAAGGAAACAATCATCATTTCACTTGTTTTTCTGTGATTCTGTGGTAAAAATGACCTTTGTCCAACACTTGTGAGGACATTGTGTGTGGGATTAGTGTCATATTCAGCCCTTGCAGGTTACAAAGTTTGGTATGTTTCATGCTGCACATATTTACCTAAGATCTTGTAACTGTTTTCACTGTCATAAACAAATCTTTTAAGATTCAGATAAAACATATTAAAATGGTGTATGATTTGTCTGTACCTTTTCCATATGGGTCTGCAGTTTACTCTTCAGTTCGGGGACCTAGTTTTGTACTGCTGAAGTCCTGATTTGGTTCATTTTGATTGTAAAAATGTTTAACCGGCATCACCTCTGCTCCCTCACGACTATTCACCATAAATATACAAAAGCATGATACAAAACTGTGCAATACAACTTCACAAACCTGATGTGATGTGCAGTAGTTTCATTAGTGAGATGCAAAGGGAGAGAAGAGTCAAATACTAAACTGAAACTTACTAAACATGTAATAAGTGTAATCAATGAATACTGCATAAAAGTGTAAAACCCCTTTTAAAACGTGTAAAAGTCATGCCTCTTTTAATAACAACTAGCATGCTAATAGTGCACAAGCCTACGTCTTGAGTCATTGTTTACGAGGCAGTTTATCAGATTGTTCAGCTCTTTGTTTTGTCTAATGCATCTCTATGGAAATATTGGACATTTTGCCAATAATGCAAATTCTCTTTTATTCCATCGTGAAACTCTCCATCGGATTGTCTGGAATGAATTTTTAAGTCCATATTATGCTAATTTCTGATTTATGTTCTAATGCTGCTTCCTCTTCACAAACAGACCTGGAGTTGTGTTTCATTCACACATGCTGCTCCACCTTGTGATGTCATCTGGTAATACAAGAAGTGCTCTCCCGTGTTTTCAAACAATATACGCCTTCAGAGGAACCATCTGGATGATCTCAACCCCGGACTTGTCAATCTCTACTGAACTAAAAGTAAACATAGTTAATTTGAAAACTACTGCTTCATGACATCACAAGGTGGAACAGAGCCTTTTGAGCTTTAGAGATGCAGACAGACTAATAATAATAAAGGCTTAATCAAACATGTGTGATTTGCCATGTTTACATGAGAGTTTTAATTCTGAATCAAAATTAATTCTGCTTTAAAAAGTCTATGTAAACATTTAATTCCTAATGATAATGATTATTCAGATTGAAATTTTATTCCAAAGTAAGTGTGTGGTTTATTCCGGTTTTAAAGCCAAATGAATTTCTTCCTGGATCATGTTTCACGTTTAATCTTGTTAAAAATAATGTTGGTGGTTTAGTGCATAGTCCAACGAGATTCATTTGGTCTTCCGATATTTTATGTTATTAGGTTATTTTTTCAGACCTAGAGTTTTGTTTCATAGCTGACAGTGTCGACTGCTCACTAGCGCTCTTCCTCCACCGGTAGGAAGACAGCGCCAAAACCTGTTTAAATCAGCTGACCGGACACGTCACAGCAACATCATGTGACCACTCTGAGGAAGAGCACTAGTGAGCAGTCCAAACTGTCAGGTATGAAACAAAACTCTAGATCTGAAAAAAAGAACCTAATAACGTGGTTTAGTGCATGTTCATTGTGTCGTCCTTCTAACGCGATCTGGACGATCCGGCTCCACCAGTCCTGGCTTTCGACTTGACTCCACGTCTCTTTGGATTTGTGAGCGGGATGTGGGAGTGGGCTGAGGTAGAACAGCCTCACACTCACTTTGTCTTCTTCCTCCTTCTCCGACACTCTTCCCTTCTCCTCTGCAGCTCACAGACGTAAAGTGTGATGAGACAATTCTCCAGCTGCTGCACAATTATCATCAGAACCACTGCTGAAAAAGTTTGGATCATGTTTGTGTCCGTGAAGGAATGACAAACCGAGATGACAGAAAAGCCTGTAGCAGCTGAAGTGTTTTCTTAAATTCGTTGGTGTCTCTGTCCAGTCATCTCTTCCCCACCCGAAGACGCTGAGCATAATTAAATAAAGGAGATTTAACGAGTTTTCCACATAAACCTCAATTTGGAATTATTATTTTCATGTAAACTCCAAGGAGAATATTTAAATTCTGAACTACTTAATTCAGAACAATCAATTCGTTATTAAAAAACATCATGTAACCATGGCCAGTATAACAAAACACAACTCCTGGTATGATTCTGATGACGTAAAAACTTTCTAACACAACTTAAAGCTCACAAGAGTCAATTTAGCCTAATATAGAACCTTTAAACCGGAGCAGAAACCAAATCTTCCTCAGTCAGCAGAGCCCGGGAGTCCAGGGGAAGGTAGCACTTATCTCCCCCCTCCACGGTCTGCCTGCTCGGGGGCTGTGGGCTTGTGGTGAGCCTGGAGGAGGACCATGGAGCTGTTCTGTAGTCTGCTCCCCAAATGCTGACTGCAGCTAACTTCACCGGAGCCCAGTCATGGAAAACCCAGTCCCCGCATAATAAATCGCAGCCGCTAATATAGATGTTCCACTGTGCGCCGCCATGCTAACGCTAAGCTACCGGCGCTCAATACATTTTCATTACAGGGATAAGACCCAGTAGTGATTTATGACTTGGGGCTATCAGGGC